AATGGAAGGGAGGTTTTTTTGTTGATTTATTTAAAATTTTAAGGGCTAAAATAAAACTAAAAAAGAGATTTTTATAATTGTCAGAAACTTGAGGGGAGGTTTTTATATTTTACCCTATATTTTATTCTGAACTGCGGTTCAACTTCATCATAGTAATATTATCCTAATTAAACCCAACATGCACGATATGTAATGAAGAACTTGAGGACCTCATCCATTTATTTACCAGTTACAATATTCGTCGAGAGATATGGAGTTAATACTCAATTCCCTTACCGACCACAGGAAATTTTCTCCAATGGATGCATGGGCTTTTCCAGGGGCGGAGATAGGGGGGGACCCATGGCCCCCTTATGGTCCAAAAATTTGCACATTCAATACATTTTTATATATAATTTGTTCCCTTTCCTCACTTTTCACTCAATGATTGGCCCATATATGATCCATGCATAAGTTTTGGCTCTCTATAAAAAAATCCTAACTCCGCCCCTGGGCTTTTCAAAAACGGAAAGGATATCTGACATCTGTTATTGGTCATACATACGGGTGATTTGGAGAGCTAGAAACGACCGGATATTTAACCAAAAACCCTTCTTATCAACAAAAAGCATGAAATCCAAAATATTTAATCTATCGAATATGCTGTTTTATGCTAACCCTTTGCCTTCAAGTGAATATTAAATTGCATCTGATATTGTTGAATTTTATAACACCTAACCCCTTGACATCCAACTTAATTCCATCTGATATTGTTGTCATGCAGCATGGCTTGGGATGGAATTGAAACCGCCTTCATCTCCTCTTTTATTCTTTCTGGAATCCAGTCATTTACGATCTCCAGAATGCCTTGGAGTTCTCATCGTATTATGTAAATTTGATAAAGGTTCTCGTGAAATGTGTATTGCGTGCCTGATGTCATATTACCTTCTTACCATAAAACGAAATTATTGTTCTGTTAGGTACAAGCTTTAAAGAGGTAGGGGGGGCAGCCCATAATCCATGCCCAAATCCCAACAAATACCTAGGTTTTTTAATGGGCTCCAAGGCCCATCAGTAGCAATGCCAGATCTCAGCCGTTGAGTGGAAGGACATTATCAATGCAGATGTCTGCTTTCTCTTGGTTCAGACATTCCTTAGCCGTTCTTATTAATATTTAATTCATATTTTTGAATACTTAACTAAACGCTACCAAGAAAGGTGCTTGCCACCCTCCATAAAAAAGACGCCAGAAACTAAAACTAAGACCCTTCTCCCTCGTAATACATCTTTGATTCTTTATTTTGTTCCAATTTCGCTTGTATGCAAGTAAAGACCACAAAATTATCTTGGATATATTTGGTAATTAAGACCTTATCCTGTTTTTTTAGTTACGTTTTATTTATTTGTTTATTTGAAAATAAGAAAACAATTAGAAAGAGACAGTCCTCTTGTTCTGGGATTCTCATTAAGGAGAATGCTGAAGTTGCTGGAATGGCCCCTTTGAATGATAAAAGGACAAGACAGAGCCCAACATACCTCATTGGAGAGTGTGAAGCAGCTTCCTTCAAGAACATCATCAATTTGGACATAGCTAGGAATTGGGACACCACCAAAATCATCAATTTGTTTTTGGAATTGCCCCCATCGGCAATAAATAAATAAATTTTATTTTATTTTCAAAGAAAAAAACAAATTGATTTTGTTTTAAAATACAATGTCTGTTTTTGAAACTAATAAAATATTAGTTTTTAAAATAAAAACAAATTGTCTAATATAAAAATTATATGATTTATGGAACATGATGTTCACTAATCAGATGAAAACATGTGTTTGAAACCTGATTCAAAGAACATATTTTCTGTTTCAGTTTTGAAAACAGAAAACACACACAACTAAAAACATTTTCTTTTTATACTTTTATTTTAAGAAACAATCTCTGTTCAAACAATGGTTTTGATTTAATTTTGAAATCGGCAACAATGAATTGAAAACAATCCACATCATGTAACGCTCCCTTAATGGGTGTTAAGTGAAATTTTGTTGTTTCAAAATAAAACCTGCAACGTAAGTCGTTAATTTTTGATAGAGAAAAACCTGCAGGTTCTTGATCGATCATTGGTTAATAATCCTGCAATGGTGTTAATTTGCGGAGTAGGTAAACCCGTGCTAGGGCCATGGGCTATGGCCCACAATAAAACTCCATAGGTAATGAAAACACGGGTGGGTGTACGAAATTTGGAGATAAATGGTGGTAAGACTCACTGGTTGACCTCCAGACACTGTGTATGCTGGCGCATGTGATAACAGTAAGTGTGGTCAACTTTCTTGTTGCAAATTGCAACCGGAAAATATCTTATTCTCTTACATATTTCACCTCTTTATTGTGTCTTTAACCTTCATTATTTGCCTCAAATAATATGGAATCACCCTTTTGATATTCAAATGGGGAAATACGGCGTTTTTTTTTCCTTTCTAGGCCCCCGTTTGGTTTTTTTTTCGTGTGTGGATTATCGGTTGTTTAGAAGTTGGAAAATTTGCGTTTTTGTTTTTTCCAATTTGGTTGGGGAAGATCATTTTGCCTAAAGATTGTTTAAAAAGACGCGAGAAGCTCGATGCAAGGATATTTCAGGAAATTAGAAATGGAGCTTCTCGTCTTTTTTTTTTTATCTCATCTTTGCACGTAATATGCGCCTCTAACCAAACGATCTATGGGCTGTCAAGATCGTTATGTAAACACCCACTACGGGGCCATTTGGCAAATCTTTTTTGAAAAATTTTCTAGAAGCTATGATAGTCAAAAGACGTGTAGTGAACTTTTGCATCAAGATCTTGACAGCCTGAAGACCATTTGGTTAAGGTATGTCTTTTCATGCGTCTTTCCATGCGAAGATGGGTTGAAAAAAAAAAAAAACTAAGCTCCACTTGGAGCTTCGAGAAAGTAGCCCAAAATGGGCTTTGCATGTCTTTCCATGCGAAGACGAGTTGAAGAAAAAAAACAAAAAAACCTCTATTTGGAGCTTCCTGAAAATACCCCCAAACGAGCTTCACGTATCTTTGTGGCACAATGTCTTTCGATGGCTATATCTCTTGTGAGTCAAATGGAAAAAGGCCACAACGTGGTTTGTCGAGCTTCTAAATAACTGACAGACTATACGGAAAGACATGTAGGGGTGCTCATAGTTCGGTTAATTGAACCGTGGGCCTTTTTTTGAAACCAACCTAGTCTATTGGTTTTTGGAAAACCAATAACTGAAGTCGATCGGTTAATTATCGATTCAGTTTGTTGATTTTTTGATTTTTTTATATTTATAATATATATTATAAAAATATATAAATATATAAAAAATATTACTTGTTAAATTATAAATAATATATTATATATTATAAATATGTATATATTTATTTATAATGCATATTTAATTATTTATCAATTTATAATATATGAAAATATATATAATATACATAAATATATATAAAATATAAATAAATATGTGTATACCGGTCGGTTCGGTTAACCGTTGGTTTTCTATATTGGTTAACTGAAACGGAACTGCTACCTTTGGTTTTTAAAATACTGAACCAAAACCAAACCAACTCGTTCAATTAACCGGATTTTGGTTCGGTTTCAGTCATTTTTTTTTTCATTTCGGTTTTTCTTTCTCACCCCTAAAGATGTGCCAAACTGGGCTGCTATTAGATCTTCCAGAAGATCTTTCAAAAAAGACTTGCCACACGGTACCTAAATAAATGATCATGTAAACCCCGTTTACTTGCTGGTATTTAACCGGGGTAAGTTGAATATAATAATAAAGTGGATAACAATTTAGGCAATGTTTGGGAGTGCTTAAAAATAAGTGCTTATTTGGGTCGGGACCACACCATTAAGCACTTATTGGTGTTTGGGAATTAAGTTAGAAATAAGTGCTTATTTTAAAAATAAGGGCTTAGTTTTTATCCCAAATTTCGAGCTTTTTTTAAGTGCTTATACAATAAAATCTTATTCAATTTTTTTCATCCAAAATTCCCTAGTTGAATTTTGTAAAAATAGTTTTATAAAAAGTTCTTTTGTAAAAGTATTTTTCATAAAAGAACTTTTATTAAAATGGTTTCATAAAAGTATTTTTTATAGAAGTGCTTTCATAAAATTTAAAAGAAAATGAAAGACAAAATAGTCACAAATGCTTGTTATTAAAAAAGACCAACGTTTTAAAAAACGACCTGGAAATGGAACCGTTTTGGGCACCGGTTTCCCGGTCAATGGTCCAACCGCCTGGTTCGAATAGACGGCCTGTTCTGATAGTAAAATTAAAAAAAATAATAAAAAAATGAAAAACGGTAAAAAACTGTTGAACGGATCAACGGTTCGACCGCCTGGGTCAATGGGTTATTGACTTTTTCAACGGTTTTTGACCAGATTCTGGGTTTTGGATAAAAAAGAACCGATTGCCTAAACAGTTCCCGGGCCAAACGATCCGACCATCCGGATCAACAGCGATTCGTAAACATTGAAAAAAACTACCAAACACCCAATATGAAATAAGTAAATATTTTTAATAACCACTTCCAAACACTTATTCAATAATCACTTATTTTTAACATAATCACTCCCAAACTTGTCTTAGTCGCACAAGTAAATATTATCTTCCACCACTCTCTTTCTCCCCATAATGACTTGTAATTTACAAAGAACACTAAAATCTCACCTACCAATGGTAAGACAAATTTTACCTAAGAAAAACCAGATGATAAAAACGAACGGAGCCGTAGTATAGTGAAATTGGAAACTAGCAGTGAGGGTGGATTCAGTCCGATTTCGCTGGCAGTAGCACCAGTGGCAGGGAGCCGGATACGAGTATACGAAATACGACTAACGAGTAACGACACAAGTGAAGAGCCAACTAGAATGTAGAATGTAATTCTAAGCGGCTCCAACATTAATCGGAAGGAAAAAGCCGAGAGGTCAGAGGCTTATTTGCGTCATACGTGTCACATTATTAGATGATAGAGCCAACTGTATGTCGCTTGTGGATTGAACATTGAAGAATGGTTGAAGCGCCTCCCGTGAGAGCGATTAATAACAACGGCGATCCCGCCGCTTTGCAGTTACTAAGAGTAAGACCCCTCCTCCCCCTATACTTTCCCCTTCCCTCTTTCTCTCCCTGTCTCTCTCGCTTATGTTAGGTTCCTCCGCGCATTTCCCATGGTCTCTTATCGTCTACTCCATATGCATTCTTGGAATTCCGTTCACGAAATGCACATATATGCAAGCGAGAGAAGTTGGAAACGAATAGATCAGGAAATTTCTTTTCGGGTTTGATCATCATACTGAGATCTCTTCAAAGGTTGGTTGGTTTTATTGATTTTTCTTTTGTTTTTTTCCGAAAATTTTGAGGACATGGGTAACATTTTCTTACTTTCTTTTTGCCAATTTATGTACATCGATCTTGGGTTCAGATAAGTTTCTGCTTTTGGAAGAAATGGGGAGAAAGGGAAGGTGGTTCACGACGATGAAGAAGGTGTTCAGGTCCTCTTCTAAAGATTTGGACAAGAAGGTAATCTCAACTAATTCTCAAATGTGTTGGAAAATTTTCCATGAGGTTATGTTTCTGCAACAATCAGACCTTCCATTGAACCACTTGGATCATGGTGATATGAAAGTTATATTCTATTGTATTCATTTAAAGTAAAAAACTTGAACAATTTTCTGTTTGATCAATTAATTTCCCACCTACACCTTCCATTTCAACCCTGTTCTGCTTTTATTTGCTTTACTGGAAGTTTGTTGAGGCTACCCGCATTCGATTTATTGATTGTTGATATTAGACATGCCTGTATATATATGAGTGTATTCGCTGGAATCATGATTTGGTTTAGTCTTCAGAGTCGATCATTTATTTATATATGCATCAGCTATCTGCTATCATCATCAGGTACACCATTGATATGGACGCTTCAAATTTCCTAACTTTTGTAGATCAGGGATGGGATGGGGGGACCCTTATGGGGAGCGGGGACTCTTACTTCAATCTTCAAACCATCGTCCCCTTCCTTTGTCACACTCCTTTGCACTGGCCATTAGGTATTTTTTAATACTTAAGGCTGTCGCATATACGTTTCCCTTCCCCTGTTCCAATTCACCAACCAAAAAAACAAAAAAAAAAATACGGTGTTACATTAGTGTCATGTTTGAAATTCATTTTTTCAGACCACGCCTGCTATTTGGTTATAGATTTTTTTTCTTTTTGAAAATCTTTTTGTGAAAAGATGTGGTTTTGAGAAAATTTTGTTTTTTGGTTTTTTCTCGTTTCTTCTTACTTTTGCTAGCAACTGTATACTAATGTGTTATTGAAAACAATGTTCTAAAAACGACCCGGAACCCCTCCCCCTCGTTAGCCACCGGTTTCTGGTTCAGTGGTTTGATTGTCTGGTTCAAACAGATGGTGTGTTCTAACTTAAAAAATAAATAATTAAAATAAAAATTGTCAAAAACTATTGTTCAGATTGAATGGGTGGATGATTCGACCATTCAGGTCAAAGGGTCGTTGACCAAGTCAATGATTTCTTTTTGTGAAAGATTAGGTTAAAGGTGAAACGGAATCGATTGCCTAGACAATTGCAAGGCTGAATTGTTCAACCATCCCGGTAAATAACGGTTGGAAAACACTGATCCAAAAATACATATAGGACAGCAGCCTTGTCTTAAAGAAAAAAAAAAAGAAATATATATGAGAAAACAGCATACGAATGCAATACAACATACACTGTTTTCTCAAAAAAAGACTTCTCAGAAAACGACATAGGTTCCAAACATGGCTAAAGATGTCCTTTTCAACTCCACCAAAATTGCAATGCAAAAACATGTTAACAGCTGGAGCAGTTATATAATCAGTTACTTGGTGGGGGCGGAGAGAAGAGGATCACCGCTCCATTCACATGGACAGTTAACAGTTTTTCCTTTTTCTCCCTTCACCGCCTTCTTTTTTTTTTTCATATAAGAAGATTGCCAACATCACGGACCTTTGTCCTTCGCGCAATTGTCAAATCACAAGAAAGTGAGAAACCTACACTTAAGATAAGAGGCCCGTGATGCTGGCATCCGACTCATTAATTTGATTTTGTTGAACGCCTCACAAATCACAAGGAGACTGTTACAAGTTGACTTTTCTTCAATAGCACTATCATCAATAACATTACAATGATGATGATGATGGTTCTAATTAGCATGATGGCATGATGATGATGATGATGATTTGATCCGTCTGCAACTAATACGAGAAGAACGATGAACGATGAGACTTGAGAACTAACTGGTGGCATTTTAAGCAGTAGGGAGTAGGGACATATCATCATCATCATCATCAGAACGGATCTCGTTCAAAGAAGGTACAATGGTTACTTTCCAGTTCCAGATTACATTTACAATGGAAATATCAGAATGGGGATTTTGTTTTTTCTTTACAGAAAAGAAATGTAGACCAAAATGGGAGACATGACACCCCTCCGTTGCCGGATGTTCTTTCTTTTGAAAACTTCCCGCCGGCTGAGACTTCCGCGGACGGTACCAACGATGGCAGTACAGCTCCATCTCCCGTCGTTGAAGATAGAAATCATGCAATTGCAGTTGCTGTAGCCACTGCTGCAGCGGCCGAGGCAGCAGCTGCAGCAGCTCAAGCTGCTGCTAAAGTCGTGCGGTTGGCCGGTTACGGTCGTCACTCCAAGGAAGATAGGGCTGCCACCATCATACAGTCCCATTATAGAGGATACCTCGTAAGTAATTAATTATATATATGTTCGATACCGCTTCTAATTTCATTATGTCCAGAGACCTCTCTAATGGTGATGAGCTTGAGTGTTGTTCGATCGATTGATTGTTTTGTAGGCCCGGCGAGCTTTGCGCGCGTTGAAGGGCCTGGTGAGACTGCAGGCCCTAGTAAGGGGTCATAACGTGCGCAAACAGGCGCAGATGACCATGCGATGCATGCAATCCTTGGTGCGTGCACAAGCCAGAGTAAGAGCTCGCCGGCTCCAATTGGCGCATGAAAAGCTCCAGAAAAAGGTAGAACAACAACAACAACAAAAGCAACAACCACAACGACGACGAAGACTTGGGCTTGGTTTCCAAGAAGATGAAGAAGACGCAGACGAAGAGAAAGAAGGAAACCATGGGACAAGGAGGAGCCTGTATTCGAAAAAATTTGCAGTGGGGAGCTGGGACGGGGGACACCATAGTTTAGAGACTATCAAGGAAAACTCTCAGAAGAAACATGATGCCGTGATCAGGAAGGAGAGGGCCCTTGCTTATGCTTTTACCTACCAAGTCAGTCAGTTTAATTACTAGTTCTTTATGTTTTCGATCTGTCTTGCCTAGGTCTCTATAATATTTCTTTGGATGATTTGCATGCATCTCTAGAATTCATTTGATCCCATCCCATGTAAGATTCTATAGCATTGATTTTTGTTCTCTTCTCGGCAGAATCAGCATCAGCAGCCCTTGGAGTCAGACTCAAATGGTACCGACCCCAGCTTCTTCTCCAAGGAGGGTGAAAAGCCACAGTTGGGGTGGAACTGGCTAGAACGTTGGATGGCATCACAACCATGGAATGCTCGTCCGTTGTCGCCACTAGAGAATTCCTACGTTACTCTCACAACTACGGATGAAATGTCGGAGAAGACGGTCGAGATGGACATGGTAACACCACCCCGCTCTGATCCAGTCAAAATGGGCCGACACAGCAGGAATCCGCTGGACCCAGACAATTACACGAGTCGGCAGCAGAGACGGTCGGGGTTGGATAATGTCCCCAGTTACATGTCCACGACGCAGTCCTCTAAAGCCAAGGTACGAAGTCAAGCTTCAGCCAACAAACAACAGCACATCCCCACTGCGGTGCCGTGGAATTCATCAACAAGGAGAGTAACAGTTGCTAGGTCGCCCTGCGATTCGTTGAGTTCGGGTGGTGGAACTGCTGTCTATCAAGCGCCATGGAGTCCAAGCCCAAAGGGCAATGCTGCCTGCATGCTCACCAGGAGATATGGAGGTTATAGTCCAGATTCGAGTGGTTGTGATGAACAGACATTGCCATTGCCTTTCACGAGCCATGGCCGGAGGCGTGACTCGAGATGATGCTTTTGGCTAGTTGGATGCACCCAAATATTGATGAGTGCTTGATATTTGCAAATGCATGCATTACCTTACGGTTATGCCATATTGACATCCACCTCAATGATGTATCGATCGATCGATCTAAAAGAATTATATTGATTCGAGTTAGCATCGTTGTGCTCGTAAAAATTGTGTGTAGTGTAGACCGCATGCATCCTTCCCAGCTCCCCGGGATGGAGGTCTAAGTTAACCAGGACTTCTGCCTTGGCACCCATGAGTGTACGAGTGTACGAGTGTTCAATCTGTAAACATTCCTGCTTACTTGTATCTAGACCTGTATCTAGACCTGTTCATGGGCCGGATAGTCTCATCTAAGTCGGGCTTGGACAGGATTTCAGGCCTATGGGCCTGGGCTTAAAATATTGGGCCTGACTTTTTTTGGGCTGGGCTTGGGCTTTCTCAAAAAGTCTGGCCTGAACCCGAACCCAATTTGATATATAATGTATTATAATAAAGATATATTTTATATAATAAAAAAGCATATATATAATGGGAAAATCTATGATGCTGAAAATATATGATATGGGAAGAGTTTTGACCAATAAAAACCCACCCATGAATTTTGATAAATAACACCTGATTGGTTACCACTTTTCCATATCATAGTCAAACCCTATATATAATATATTTTTCTTTAATTTTCTTCTCTTTTTTAAGTAATAACCTTTCATTATATTTTTTTTAGGTTTTGAGGTCTTTTAATATAAATAAATTAGTTTTTAATTAAACTAAAAAGGAAAAAAATATATTTTTTCCAAATATTTGGTCGGGCTCAAGCTTGAGCCTGAATATATTTTGTTAATGTAAAGCCCGACCCAGCCCATGAACAGGTCTACTTGTTTCCATTGCCCCTTCTTAGGCTGAGAAAATATACAAATTGAGAGAAAAATGGGTTCATTCTGTCACAAATTTAGCCAATCAGAAATTTATTCTTAGATATGTGTTTGGTTGCGGAGCAAATCTTGACCGGGTGCAAAATTTTGTATCTGGTCCGTTTTTTCTTTCATTTGTTCGTAATCATGCTATGCATTTTTACCAGATACCAAATTTGTGTATGTGTTTTTTGTCTCGTTTGCATTTGTTGGTTGTGCAAACTTTGCATCATGCTAAATTTACACCACCTTCCTCCTAGCTACCATAATTCTTTCTCATATAAATTGGGAACAATGCCATCTTACATCCTACCTTCTTATTGAGACAAATAACCCTCCTACCTCACTCGATTTGATGATCGCAAAAAAGTTCTCACACCCACCTCACAGCACATTACAGCCACATATTGATCAGGAATATTTGTCATACTTGTATGTTGTTATTCATGGGGAGATGTTCCCAATGTGAGGAGTCTCACTTGAGGGTGGGTCCCATGTTTATGGAATATTGGCATATTCAATCATAATTGTGTACCTAGGGCTGCATTTGGAAAAGATTACAAATGCAAATATGCAGACCACAAAACCTCATACTTTATCTTATTTTGTATATATTTGCACTGTACATATGTGTATTTGTACTCCTTCCAAATTGAGCCTAGAGTGTTATATACAATGTTGCCAATAGCAGATTCCATGCACTTCATTTTACGTCATATTTTACTTCTTACAAAAGAAATATGGCGAAATCAGATGTGAAGTTAATATATACTCGAATCTTTTATGGGTCCATGAATTTGCACCAGTTAAGGTAAAATTTATATTGTAGCCAAACACAACCTTTAGGGAGCATTTTCTTTTCGACTCCAAATCTCATGCACTCAGAATGGTGTGTGCCGAGGTGTCACGAGGGTAATCGTTGGGGCCCGTGCGGCACTCGAAAGGGGTGAATAAGCCTACGCAACAAAGCAAACACACACAAAGAGGCAACAAGATGGCACACGAATTAGCAAAAGGCTATTTGTATTGCATTAATCAATAGTAAGCACAAGCACACAATACAGTGTTGAGGGGATCTTGTGCTTAACCTTTACACGCTTTTGTGTTCACTCGACTACCTACCTCCCCTCAAAGAGTACGTTAAACTTTTGGGGGAGATACAATAAGAAACATAAAAAATGTGAAAAATCATACTACAGTATTACAATAATGCCATTGGCAATCCCCCATACAAAAGTACATGCATAACCTAGCCATGACACACACTTGGACACTGGAGTGGCGACTATAGGCACGATGGATGGCACTTGATGGCGCGGCGAAGAGAACACTTGTTACAGTCTCCCCCACTCAATTCAATCTTCGTCCTCGAAGACTAGCTTCTGCTTGAGGCTTGAACTTGTTGGTGAAGTAAGGTTCTTCGATTGCTCCACAAACTGGGTTTCTTTCAAGGCCCGGATAGGAGATTGGGTAGATGGCTAGTGGATGCCCTTGATGGTGGGAAAACCTATGGCTAGCAACTAAATTAAGTCCCTGCCTGGCTGCATCAATGTAGGATTTTGGATGTTCCCCAATGGTGGTAGGAAAATTGGTGGCCAAGGATAGGTGAAAATGATATTTTGGATTGTTAGGGTGTTGGTTCCCATGCATTTTTCCCCAAGGGTGACTCACAGGGATACTACGGGATTTAGCTTGAGGGATGATGTGAATGTGGTCCCTAAATGGCTTGGGTGGCACTCGCTCTCCCTAGTGGTTGTGGTAGTAGATGTGGGCAAAGTTTGACACGGCCTTGGGTCTTCTGTTGGGCCCATCAATTGTGGGTATGTGTGGCTTCTGCTGCAAAGGTGGCTTCTGCTGCTGTTGCTGTGGCGGCATTAGCGCTGACGCTGGTGCTAACTTCTTCCTGGAGTTGCTACGATCACTTCTGGTTGCACTGGTGGTGGTTGTTGATCTCTCTGTCATCAATGGTTGAGGGTGGTGTTGGAGTTCCAAGGCTGAGACTTGCACCTTTTTGGTGTTGGTTGTGGCGATCATGTTGACCATGCAAGGTGACTGCTCGTCCAAGATCACCAGGGTGTCAAGGTGAGGCGCTGGTGCTGCTTTTGCCTGTATCATGAAATCCATTCCAAGGACAACATCAAAATCATCTATGTGGACGACGAAGAGGTCAATCTCTCCATCCTAGGTGCCGAGTTGTAGTCTTACTCGGCGAGGCATGCCTTCAGTAGGTTTGGCACCTGTGTTAACTGCTTTGAGCCAGCCAGGCTCTTTGGAAACGGCCAAATTAAGTCTCTTGGCCTCGGCAATGGATATGAAGTTGTGAGTGGCCCTCGTATCAACTAGGGCCCTGGTTGGCCACCTGCCATTGGTTACATCAACATACCTCAGTCCTCTCTTGACTGAGGAGGGCTGTTTGGAGGCAGCCCCTTTCTTCATCATGGCATTGAAAAGTTAGAGGGTGCCCACTCGTGGCGCATGGGTACTCCATTCCCCCTCACTCTGCTCATCATGACTTAGCTTGGCAATGAGGGCATTCAACTTTGCTCGCTTTGGACAATTCCTTGTCAAGTGCTCCTCTCCACAAATGTAGCAAGTGGGAAGACGGCTGGGTCTCCCTTGATATTTGTTGTTGTAGTAGCTTTGACTTCCTTGTGGCTGCTTCCCTTTGTGGTGCTCGACTGGTTTGTGGTTGAAGGGTGGATTCTCCTTCGAGGGACTTGGTTGTCTATCTCCCCCACTTGAATGTGTGGTATGCGGGCTTGCTGGTCTGTTTCGTTCTTCATCCGATAGTCTCCGTTCACTAAGTTGTTCAACCATGACCATGGCGGAGGCGAGGTCCTGAACATTGTGTTGTTGGAGCTCGAGCTCGACCCAAGGCTTTAGGCCATCCATGAAGTTGAACAATAAGTCCTTGTCTGACATATCAGTGACTTCTAATGTGAGGGCTGAAAACTCGTTTACATAGTCATGGAGGGAGTCACTATGCTTGAGAGTCTTCACCTTGCGACGAGCGAGGTACTCCACGTTCTCTGGGTAGAACTGTCTCTTCAGCTCTCGTTTAAAGTTAGCCCAGGTACGAATGACACATGTACCCCATTCTATATCAATACACCTTCTGCGCCACTACAACATAGCGACATCAGTCAAATACATAGTAGCAGTACGCACCTGAGTCATTTCATCAGTCACATTGGTGGTGGTAAGGTACTGCTTCATTTGCCACATGAAGTTGTCAAGCTCTCGTGCATTGCGGGTACCCGAATAGGAGTTGGCTCCCTAATCTTGATGTGGGAGGGAGTATGTGCAAATGAAGTGTTGGCTGGATTAGCAACGACCCTCTTCAGGATTGCACATTCGGCTTTGAGTTCCTCTAGTTGAGCTTGGATGTCGGAGGAGGAGGCACATGTGGCGGACTTCATTGAGGCCCACTCCGCTCTCATTTCATCTAGTTGGGCCTGGACGACCATTGATGTGGAGGTGTTTCTTCTCCAGGTTGCCCACTTTTTCTTCATCTCATCGAGTTGGGCTTGGACATTGTCAAGCCTATCTTGGACCTGCGAGTTGGAGGAGCTTGCTTCTTGTTGGCACGCAGTGCTGCAAATTTCCTTGAGCGTGCCATTGATTATGTCACGGACCTCATCCACGACTCCACTCAAGCGCCCTTCAATCTCGACCAGTGTACTATCCATGGCTTCCATGTTTCGATGCAGCTCGTCTATCGAGTCTCGCATCTCACCTACGGTGGCTTCGCAACACAGCATGCGCAACTCAACGGCCGCATGCCTGTTGAAAGATTTCTCACGTTTGCTGGGCTTCGGTGCCTTGTCCTTGCCGATGTCATCGGCGGGCGCATCGTCGGCCTCATGGACTGTGGAGAGTCCATGCTCGATCTCCTCCACGATGTCCCTGTTGTGCTTCATGCTGTCACTCGCGTCGCAGGTCGAATGACTTATAAGGAGCTCCTGCTCTGATACCAATTGTCACGGGGGTAATCGTTGGGGCCCCGTGCGGCACTCGAAAGGGGCGTGTAAGCCTACGCAACAAATCAAACACACACAAAAAGGAAACAAGATGGCACACGAATTAGCAAAAGGCTATTTGTATTGCATTAATCAATGGTAAGCACAAGCACACAGTACAGTGTCGAGGGGATCTCGTGCTTAACCTTTACATGCTTATGAACTCACTTGACTACCTACCTCCCCTCACAGAGTACGTTAAGCTTTTGGGGGAGTGACAATAAGAAATATCAAAAAGGTGAAAAATCATAGTATAATATTACAATAGTGCCATTAGCAATCCCTCATACAAAAGTATATGCATAACCCACCCATGACACACATTTGGACACTGGAGTGGTGGCTGTAGGCACGATGGATGGCACTTGATGGCATGGCGAAGAGAACCCTGGTTACAGAGGTGCACTTCCATTCATTTGATGACACGTTAGTTAGGTATGAGGGTCCTCATAACACTCTCCATTAATGTCTTATTTTTTATATTTTTAAATAAAAAACATAGAAAATTAAATAAATAATATAATTTGGATTATCCAATCCATGGGAAAAAACCATCTATGTGAAAAATAAGCAAAGAGAACTTAAGATCAGGAAGTATTTTGTAACAAGGAGTTCAATTGAAGTAGGATTTGCATAAGAAAAAACCATTTGTGTGAAAAATAAGCAAAGATGACTTAAGATTAGAAATATTTTGAAATAGGGAGTTCTATTGAAAAATTATTTGCACAAGAAAAACATGATTCTTTTGCAAATTAGAAAAAAAAAAAAAAACGATTCTTCTTCTTCTTCTCACTTGGAGACCCAATGCCAACAAGGTAAAGCTACATCGAGTGTTGCCAATAACATGAGATTTCAACAAGAAATCTCAAACCATTGTTCAATAATATCAACTTAAGTTAGATCTCAAACCATTATTAGAGAAACAACAGCTTTCTATTTCAGTTGTTCCACTAAAAAACACCCGTAACTCGTAAAAAATTAGCTTTAAACAACGTGAGACTTGTAGCCTTAGCTAAAGGTTGAAGACAAAAAGACAAATCTATTTGCAGATGACTCCCGCTTCTGATTGAAGATTTGAGAAGAAAAACCAATTTTCTTTGTAAAATGTCTGTTCTGAAGTTGCAATCTTTAATGGCTTCCACCCTAGCTGAAGCTTGAAGAAGAAAGAAAGATCTACCATCGTTGGTGGCATCCATCCAATTGTAGGGTTTGGTTGTGTTTCTTTCTCTCCTTTGAGTCCAAAAGACTCGATATGAGTTTCCTTCTAATGTAACAGAAAACTTGCCGTTTAATTTTCCCGCACATGTAAATCGGGTGCCCATGCAAACTATGTGATGTATTTGCTTATGATTGGAAGTGCATCCCAACATGCATCATTCCGAGTGTAGTAGATCTGGGCTCTTTCTTTTCTATAAATTACTTAGGTGGCGTTTGATTGCACTTTTCAGACGTCTGAATCTGAAAATGTTGTTTTTCAGACGCCACCTTTGTTTGGTGTTACATTTGAAATAGTGTTTGAAAACTTTTTTCAAATCTAAAATTTTTAGACTGAGGCCAATCAATTAACGCGTTTAGGTGCATTTAAGACATGGCCAAAAGTCAAAAGTACCCCTCCCCATTCTCTCTCTCTCTCTCTCTTCGTCCTGTCTTCTCGCCACTGTCGCTGCAACTTGCAACGGCGGCTCTCTCTCTCTCTCTCCCCTTGTCCTCTCTCTCTCTTGTCTTCCCACCACTGCGACTGCCACTACAACTTGCAGCGGTGGCTCTCTTTCTCTCTCCCCTGTCTTTCCACCACCGCCACCGCTGCTACAAGTGGTTTGGTGAATAATAATAATATTTTTATTAATTATTAATTATAAATTATTTTAATTAATTATAAATTATTTTAATATTTTTTATTAGATTTACTTGTGTTATTTATTAATTATTAATTAATTTTATTAACTAGTAATTTTTAATTATTTCATTAATTTTTAAAAAATAGTTTAATTTTTATTTGTGTAAATTATTAATTATTTTAATATTTTTATACACTAATTATTTTTTAATTTTAACCATTTCATTTATTAATTAGTAATTATTAATTTGTTATTTTTTATTTGTATTGTTTCAATATTATTTTGAGGTTGAAAATTATTTTTTATGAGATAATGCAAATTGAATTCAACATTTCCAAATAGTATGTTTTAGGTGCAAAATAGTAAAATCAGTAAATCTTAGATGGTAAAGGGTTGAACCAATAGAAACTAACTTATACATTCATATCCTCTAAAAAGTAGAAAAACATCTTTACCTCTTTTCAGACTTCAGAAACTTTTAATATCTTTTTAACTTTTCAGATTTATCAAGCGCCACCTTAAAATCAATCCGATTTTTAGATGGGCCATTTGGAGTTTACATTGGCACCTCAACGTGCATTAGGAACATCTTCCATATTTGTCATTGGGAGGTGTTTCCAATAAATGGGTGGATGTGTCGTGGGGCGCCCATTCCGCCATTTTCCACTAATCAATGATTGTTCATTAGAATTGAAGAGGTTGGTTTTGATTGGTTTGACAAACTTGGGAGATGAGGTTTCACAAGGTTGATTTTGTTTTAGAAAACAAAAACAACTACAACATCAACAAAGTTGTATTATTTTCACTGATTCAGCTGTTATTTTTATTTAAGCTTGGTTTGGAAGGAGTACAAATACAAATATGTAGAGTGCAAACACATTCAAAATAATACAAAATACAAGGGTTGAACGCCAAGCAACCTGTGCAAAGTGCATTAAAAGTCTAAAACTTAAAAACTGTAATAATTAAGCTATTAAAGTATTTATATCTATATATTAAAATGGAATTTTCTAAAGCATTTCATTTTTTTCTAGTTTTTTTTCAAAGGCACCTATCTTTTTCCTGGTATTTTTGAATTTTCTAATTTTAAAATTGAACAAAATAACACAAGTGACCTATTACCTTTAATAATTCTAACACCCCTCATTAATACACTATTAACTCTCTCTCTCTCTCCCCCCATTAATTCTTATAATAATCTCTCTTCATTAATTATGCCATTAACTCTCTCCTTCAATAACTAATGCCACTAATTCTCTCTCTCTCATTTCCACTACTCCATAAATTGCATAAAATACATTAACTTTATTTGTGTGTGTGTATATATATTTGCATTAAACTGTAATTATTAATAAAGATTAATTATTTTGAAATTAAGATATTCAATGATATATTATTGTGCCAAATATCTACTTCTATTTAAAATTATAATCCATTTATATTCCATTTAAAAATAATAATAATTAATTAACCATAACAAAAATAATTTAGTAATTAATTATTGCTATTGATAAAATTATTTTATTAATATAATAAAAATAATTTTATTAATAAAAGGAATAAGATAAGTTAAAATCCAATATCAGTTTTAAATTAATACAAAATTATCAAACAATTATTAGTTTTATAATTAAACTTTATTAATTTAAAACCAACTTAAGTTCCACTAAAAAATTAAAAAAAAATTATAGTTAATTAAATTTCATAAGTAATTTAAATTTAATAAAAACTTAATACAATTAAATAAATTTGATTTTTATTAATTTGAAAATTTTAATAAAAACTAATTTTAAATATGGTTTAATTATTTAAGTTCAATTTAAATTCCATTTAAAAATAAGAAAAATTATAAAAGCCTCCTTGGGTTTTCTAACAATCCTATGAATCACTTTTGACCTTAACAATTCTTGGGTTTTGAAAAAAGGTGTAGATACCTTCATTTTGTTAGCATTTCAAATTTAAAAAAAAAAAAGAGTAAGGAGAATTATTCTTTGAATGTTGTCAGGCAAAATAAATTAGTGAAGGATAAAGTTGAAACTTTAAATTATGTATGATAATGCATTAACTATACTAAGGATATTTTGATAATTTCAATGTTATTGTTACCGAAAAGCCAAGGGAAAGGAGGTATTCACACTTTTTTCCTCAAAACTATTGGGGAGGCCTTTGTTGGGGTCAAAATGGAAAGGAAATTTATAGAATTGTTATAATAGGACTTTTTTTTTATAATTTTATCTAAAAATAATACAACAATAATAACAAACCAATAAAATTTAATGAGAAATCTTTTTAAAAAAAAAAGTAAAAGTTAGCATTAAGATAAATATATATATATATATATATATATATATAAATTTATATAGAGAAAAGGAAATTGGCCCTCTCACTAAAAGCAACTAGATTATGATTAAATAAAATAGACATAACCCAAAAATATAACACTTGAATTGAACTTAAATGAATAAATTGAAAATGTCATAGCCATCCATCTTCAATTTTACTTCTAAATAAAGCCCCATGCATCGCACGCGTGCTGAATAGCTTTTTTTTTATTTATTTTTGATTAAAAGGTCCCCACTAGTATTCAATTATTCCCTGATTTGCCATAAAACAGCTTGTGGTGGAGCTGCGCACAATGAAATTGGAATCTATCCATGATCAATGGTTGTTTTCAACATTTTAGCGAGCATGACTGCATGACTGCATGACAACTGCTTGTTTGTTTTGTGGTCCCGCTTTAAAAGGCTTGCCTCCATACGCTCACCATTCATCACTCCATTTGACACGTGGCATTTCCGGATCATTCGTTTCGAATGTAGCCAAATTTCCGAGTGGAGCGTGCAGATCGAACCACGTGGTCATCAAAGCAACACCACACAATAAGTTGAGGCTTACAGGAAAACCTTACCTTCACAAATCTCAATAAGATCAACATAACGGCGAAACCACATCTCTCGTGCGGATTCTGCGAGATTGCAATCTTCTTCTTCGTAGGGCACAGTTTTCACTCAAGCTACGAGAGAGGAAGGATGGGGTGCACCTCCTCGAAGCGAATTGAGGCTGATGTCTACCGGCCGGCACCCACGAGCTTCGCTCTCTTCGATATCAACGCCATCGAAGAGCCCTGGCTAATCACCGGTGATAAACAGCAGCAGCAACCGCAAGAGAAGACCGGCACGCACGTCCCAGCGTCCATACTGGAGAAGCTCGACAAGTTCGAACTCGCCTCTAATGGCCCTCACTCATGGTCTGAAGTAAGCAAGGCTTTGGAAGACCTCAAGCCCACCCTCGACCCTCAAAAGCCTCTCGCAACCAAAGCTGATCATGACGTCGTGTCCCCCAAGGCCAAGGTGGAAGACAGCACCCGAGCCTCGAAACCTCCCCCACGCAAGAGCCAATCCTTTCACACGGTGGAAGAACTCGACCCTAAGGCTAAGCTACCATCCAAACCAACTCAGTTAAAGAAAACCGAGTCGATGGCCGAATTGCAGAGAACCGAGTTCTCGAACGCGGAGTCACGACCCGCTTCAAAACCAGCTGTCGATTCTGCCGGGTTTAGGCCACTAAGGGAGAACGCATTCATCGTACGGGACAGGATGGAGAGGGAAAGGGAGGGGAGGACTTCAGGAGGTGTCGATGGGAGCGCGAGGTCTAGGTGGGACCCACTGAGTGAGTACCCGGAGAAGTGCCCGCCTGGTGGAGCTGACTCGGCGGTTCTCTACACGACCACGCTGGGTGGGGTTCGCCGCACGTTTGAGGACTGTAACCGTGCAAGGTCAGTGCTGGAAGCGCAGCAAGTGGACATCGATGAGCGGGACGTGTCGCTGCATGGCGAGTTCCTGAACGAGTTGAAGGAATTAGTGGGAGAAGAATGCAGCGTGCCGAGACTGTTTGTGAAGGGAAGATACATCGGAGGGATAGACAAAGTGGTGGAGCTGAACGAATCAGGTCGACTGGGGAAGTTGTTGAAGTGGGCGGGGATCGTTAGAGGAGTGGGGAGGCGAGCGTGTGAGGGGTGCGGGGGAGCAAGGTTTGTGCCGTGTTTGGAGTGCGGAGGTAGTTGTAAGGTATTGATAGAGGATAAGAAAGAGAGGTGCAGTAAGTGCAACGAGAACGGATTGGTTCAGTGTCCTCTTTGTCATTGATCGGCCCGAACTTGACTTCTTCGTGGGTCGTGGTTGAATTCATGTTTGATACAGATATTCCATGTAAAAAAACAAATAGATATACGAGTTACGAGATCAGGTAAGCATATATGTGTATATATTAAGGATCATTTGCTGTGATAATTTTTATTTGCACCGGTGTAAATGTAAATATAAATAAATGTATGGGAGTGCAAATAGGTTGAGTGTGAATTCTGGTCTGCTTTTATATAAGAAAAATGGAAATAGGAGGAAGACTATTTGAGGAAAGAGGTAAGTGGTATAAGTTTTATATCAGTTCTTGGGATGTAAAATTTATACTGCCAATTTTATATCAGGTAGGAATGCAAATATGTTAAAATGAACAGAGTGAACGGCTGGAAAATGTGAGTACCGCAGGACTGTATACCGTGCAATTAACGTGTTCAAGATATCCCATCTCTATGAATTGGACCATGATGCGGGTAAAACTTATAATTAATTAATCAATTAATCAGTACATAACCAATCAGATGGTATTCAGGGGGGATTTTGATTGGTCAAAATTCTTTACATATCATACCTTTCGTCTTTTTTTATTTTTCTAACTGTCGATTAGAGAGCTAGGTAGATAATCAATTAATCATCAAGGTTCAAGGAACTGTTAATGTTTGACTACTCAAAAATTATACATTTTAGTGATCACGTCCTTTTATTTGAGACCAGCATATCAATGATTCGGCAGTGGAGATGGGATCTTCTGGAAGCAAAAAAAATTATGCGTACATCCTGAGAGCACAGAATCAAACCGTATACTAGGAGTTTAGTTTAGGAGTAACTTCCCATGAATTCAACATGAAGTATGAGAAATAATACTGATATGCAGTTGGATGCTAGCTCTCAGGGTGTATGCATGTTTTTGCTTGGGTATATATAAAATTGGACTGGGTTAGGTCAAGCCACACCATTCTTCATCTAACTTGCATAATTGTTATGAGTCATACAAGGAAACTTCCTACGTGACCCGATTCAGAAACCTGATCCCAATAACTAATACAAGGAGGTTGGCTATAGGACTGATCATATGGACCCTGGATTGGATACATATGGCAAAAGAAACCAGTCAAGAGATGGAGGCATGAGAGAAAAGCTTACATAACAGCAAGCTCTTTGTGGTATGGTTAATGGGCCTCAATGCATAGAGAACGACAATGATGAATCAAAAAGTTGAGCGAAAGCTCTTATTAAATTTCATAAAATTCCTTAGGCAGCAATTGATTGCATTGGTGTAAATGCAAGGATGTGTAAATTTTGGTTTACATTTTGTTTCAGATTTAACCATGTGTTGTTTAGCTGTGAAAAGTAAAATGATGTGGTCCATCTTATATACAAGAGAATGGATGTATAAATTATTTGTTTGGGAGTGTCATAAGAAACAAAATGATGTGGTACCGAGAATTGAGGTAGGTGGAAGGTGGTGCAAATTTTAAATCCATTTTTGAGATGCAAAATTTATACTTTTAGTAAATGTAAATGAGACAATATATATATATATATATATATATATATATAATTTGTATGAGGTAAGACTGTAGATAAGGATGGCAATTTTCCTCATCTCCCATGGGGACCCAATTTCTCTTACCTAACAGGGTCGAGGATGAGAATTGAGGTCTCCACCCCGCCTCGGCCCCGATTATAATAATATATATATATATATTTTAAATATATATTATTATATGTGATATTATATATATTATTCGTATATATAAAAAAATATTTAAAATATTATTTATATTTTAAAATATTTATTTATTTTAAGTAAAATTATTTTTTAAAAAATACTGTTAACAAAAAATATTTCAGGAATTCGGGTCCTCGTAGGGAATCCATCCCTGTCGGGGATCAGGGATAGTGGACAACTTTTATCCCCAATAGGGATTGAGGATGGGGATAGGGATTAGTTTTAGAATCGGGGTTGGGGACGGGGAATATGATCCCTAACCCAAATTCGCCCCATTTTCCATTCCTAATTGCATATCGTAGTTGTAGACATTAAAATTTTCATGAGCTTTTGGATGGGCCTACCCCCATAAACTCAAAGTTGCTCACGTACCTAAGTAGGGGTCATTCTATTTGGACCATGTCCCATACTATCAAATATGTACATGTAGGGGTGATCATTTCAGCCCGGCCGACACAAGCCTAGCCCAGAAATTCTGGGCTTGGGCCTGGGTTTTGTGTTTAGGCTAGCCCCGCACTCGGGCCAACATCAGGTTCACAAATTTTAGGGCCGGGCTTGGGCTTAATACTTCAAGCCTGGCCCAACTTGCATATATTTAGGCTTACACATTTTGTGTATAATGCATACACATGTATACGTGTTATTTTACATTATAGGGTAAATTACAAAGACCCCCCTATACTTTGTTTTGCGACAAAGACCCCCTTGTACTATGACTATGAGACAAAGACCCCCTTCTATTAGCTTTCCGTTAAAATTTGCCGTTACATTATCTTTTAATCCCCATACTACCCTTGTAAGAAAAATACTGTTCATTTTCCCCAACCTCAGGATACAAGAATAGTAGCGGCGGTATTCCTTCACATCTCTCTCTCTCTCTTCCTCTCTCTACAGATCTCTCTTCTTCCCCTTCCCCTTTCTCTCCTCCCTTTTCTTCAGACTCTCCTTGGTCTTCTCTCTCCACCGCTTGAGCTAAGCTGAGAAAAGTCTAAAAAGACAAGAAAAGGATTTGCAACTTAAACCTCTCAATCGTTAGCAACTCGACATTCACGAACTAGTCATTTTTCTCGGCCAGGTTAGCAACAGCACCCCAGCCATAATCCCTTCCATCACCGAGTTCCACCCGCAGTGAGTCAGGAACCCGCCCACGGCTCCATGGTTCAGTATTGGGACTTGTGGGGCCCATCCCCTTATGATCAAACCTCTCCCCGCCATCCGATCTTCGATCTCCTTAATGATAACCCCGCGATCGTCCACTTCTTGTCCTGACATCGTCATCTTAACGGTCCAAATAAATCTGACCCCACTTCGTTCCAACCCGGCTCCCAAGGCCTTAGTTGTTGTTTCGGCAGTAGCACCTGACTATCAAAACAAACATAAAGCACAGACTCGTCTAGGCAACGGTTGAGCTACTTTAGCATATCAACAGGTGACACTGAAGTGTGCTCACCTCGTTCATCAGATCTAGCACTAGCACAAAGCAGCCTCCATCATAGCCCGAGGGCCCACACCACTCTCTGCTTCATCTTCTTCTTCTTCTCATTGTCGATTCCAAATTTGCTTGATGGCAGGTTCTGCGACCTCCGAATTGAAGAAAATTCAGATTCAGAGAGACGATATTACATCTGATGCTTATGTGGTGGGCAAAGAAAGTGCTCCTGGCATAGTGGTGTTGCAAGAGTGGTGGGGGGTTGATTATGAGGTCAATAACCATGCTTTGAAAATTTCCCAGATGAATCCTGGTTTTAAAGCACTCATCCCAGATTTGTAACGTGGAAAGGTTGGTTTAGATGTTGCTGAAGCATAGCATTTAATGGATGGTCTTGATTGGCAAGGTGCTGTTAAGGATATTCGTGCTTCAGTTAGTTGGCTAAAGGTAAATGGTTCATAGAAGGTAGGTGTGACAGGATTTTGCATGGGCGGTGCTCTCTCAATTGCAAGTTCTGTTTTGATTCCTGAAGTTGATGTTGTCGTTGCTTTCTACGGAGGGGGAAGAGAAGAAGAGAGATCGGGGGAGAGAAAGAGAGAGAAGAGAGAGAATATGTGAAGGAATACGGCCCTGTTGTTCCTGTATCGTGAGGTCAGGGAAGATAAACAGTGTTTTTCTTAAAGGGTAGTATAGGAATTAAAAAATGTTGTAACACAGATTTCAACGGAAAGCTAACCAAAGGGGTTTTTCTTCTCATGGTCATAGTACAAGGGGGGTCTTTGTCGCAAAACAAAGTACAGGGGGGTCTTTGTCACAGACCCCATAGTATGGGGAGGTCTTTGTAATTTACCCTACATTATATTATATATTTTATATATAAATGTTATAAAATGAATAATTTATATTATATGTAATATTTTATATTATATAATGTACAAAATAAGTTTATATGCATGTTATGTCATTTAATATATAAATATGTAATATTTTACATATGAGTGACATTGGCCTAGAATCAGGCCCGACCTGTATAGAGTTGGGCTAGGGCTTATGTTTTAGACTTGAAACCCCATGCCGGGCCGGGCCCGAGCCTAATCTATAGCCCTTATCATAAATGCAAAGCCTGGTCTAGTCCATGATCACCCCTATGTACATGGGCCTTAACATTTTAGCTTTGTTGTTGCAAACCCCTTGGCATGGTGGAAGGGTCCATGTGGGACCCACTTTGAAATCAAACTTAAAAATTCAAATTCAAAGTTCAATTACAAGTCTTAGTGATTTATGGAAATGATCCAACTAGAGCTCATTTCAGGTCTTAAAGATGGAAATCTAGTTAATGATTGAAGAAAGAATAACTGATTAAAAAAAATCATTATCTCTACAAATAGTAAATTGCCAATTTTCTTTTCAAAGGTAATTATAGGTAGATCTATTCATGGGCCAGGCCGGGCCGGGCTTTCACTCTTCCAAAATAGAAATTTGTTAGGCTCAAACCCGAGCCCAGTCCGACCAACGGGCCTACAACTTGGGCCCGAGCCCGGCCCTGATAAAAAGCCCGAAGCCCAAGCCCAAAGTCTGACCTAATAAAAAGATTGGGATTCAAGAAAAAGAATATAAATTCAATATAAATTCTGAATTTGCAAAAAATAAAAATAAAAAAGGAAAACCAATTGCAAATTATTCAATATAAATTCTGAATTCAATAATCAATATAAATAAGAATTTATTTACATTAAAAAAATAATATAAATTCTGAATTTGCAAAAAAAAAGGAAAACCAATTGCAGATTGTTCAATATAAATCAGAATTTATTTACATTAAAAAAGAATATAAATTCTGAATTTGCAAAAAAAAAAATAAAAAGGAAAACCAATTGCAGATTATTCAATATAAATTCTGAATTCAATAATCAATATAAATTAGAATTTATTTACATTAAAAAAAGAATATAAATTCAATNTTATTCAATATAAATTCTGAATTCAATAATCAATATAAATTAGAATTTATTTACATTAAAAAAAGAATATAAATTCAATATAAATTCTGAATTTGAAAAAAAGGGAAAACCAATTGTAGATTATTCAATATAAATTCTGAATTCAATATAAATCAGAATTTATTTACATTAAAAAAAGAATATAAACTCAATATAAATTATGAATTTGCAAAAAAAAAAGAAAAAAGGAAAACCAATTGCAGATTTACAACATTACCAAAGCCAAATACAATGTTTTTGCTTTAGGAATTAGGATAATCAAATCTAATAGTTTCAACACTTTTGAAAAATAAACTAAGCTAATAAATATGTGTAGTGAATCCCTAATGCATCAGGCTATTTTTATCATTCTTCAACAAATCTCTAAGAGCATTCAGACAAACAATAGCATTCAGATTTTAGACAAACAATAGCATTCAGCTTTAGGACAAACAATAGCGTTCGGCTATGTAAACAGTAAATAGTAAATAATAATTTCATAATACAATAAAATGGCAAAGAGAACTCATCGCTAGACTTGTTCATGGGCCGGGTGGCCCAACGGGCCGGCCTGGCCCGACCCGACCCCCAGACGGGCTTGAACAGGTATATAGGCCTGCGGGCTTAACCTCGGGCCAAAAAGCCCGGCCCGCAATAAATTCGAGCCGGGCTCGGGATTTGCCAAAACAGCCCGGCCTACCCGGCCCGACCCGATCTATAACTAAACCTAAAAACCCTAGTTGAATACCCCTCTTTTTTTTCACCTCCTTCCCTTCTTTTTCCAACCGAATTCTTCTTCTCCACATCCTCTTTCCCTTCTTTATATTCTTTTTTTAATATAAATAAATTTTGAATTTATATATTTTTTAATGTAAATAAATTCTGATTTATATTGATTATTGAATAGGGAAAATTTCTAATTTTTTTTATTAGGTCGGGCTTTGGGCTTTTTATTAGGGCCGGGCTTGGGTTCAAGTTGTAGGCCCGTTGGTCGGGCCGGGCTCGGGCTCGGGCCTAACATATTTCTGTTAATGGAGAGTAAAAGCCCGGCCCAGCCCGGCCCATGAACAGGTCTACTCACTGCCAGTGATTGTGTTCGTTGGAGAGGAGTTCGCGGTGAGTTGCGATTTTAACAGTGAAAAGTGTGTTAGTTCGTGTCAGAGAGAGAGAGAGAGATAGATAGATAGATAGATAGAGAGAGAGAGGACTCACCGCCGCCGATGCCTGTATTCGCCGCCTCGCCGATGTTTGAGATTTGAAAGAGAAGAAGTGAGAGAGAGAGAGAGAGAGAGAGAGAGAGAGAGAGAAGGAGAGGACTATCGTTGGAGTTGTTGCGTTGGTGAATGCTCGTTGCCTCACCGGTTGTGTGGCTACTTGAGAGTGTGAGGACTGAGGAGGATGTGAAGAGAAGAGAGGATCAGCTAAGGGGAAAGAGGTGAAAGAGAAGGGTTCTTACTTTTTAGGATATTAGGGTTTTTTAAGCTTAGTCTATAGGTCGGGCCGAGCTATTTTGGTAAATCCCGAGCCCGGCTCGAATTTATTGTGGGCCGGGCTTTTTGGCCTGAGGTTAAGCCCGCGGGCTCATTTGCGTGTTCAAGCCCGTTCGGGGGTCGGGTCGGGCCGGCCCGTCGAGCCACCCGACCCATGAACATGTCTAATTATAGGGAATCGAATCTCTAGTCAATCAAGGCACACCTTCCCATAGACGAAAATCAATCAATGATTGAAGAGAGAATAATGGATGATAATTATTCTCTCCAAGGATGATAGTAATTATAACCTTTCACTCTCTAAAAAGGGTAAGAAGAATTAATCAAATCCTTAATCATGGGGATTAGGAGATTAGAACAAGAAGTCTAAATAGGAGTCCTCATCAAGAATAGACCTGTTCATGGGCCAGGCTAGGCTTTGCCTCTTTATCAACAGAAATGTGAGCTCGAGCCCAGCCCTTATATAAAGCCCGAAACCCGACTTATACACATAATGTCTTATTTTCAGTGTACTTTTATAAAATAATATTATATTAATCTAGTAATAATTTAATAAATTAAAAAACTAATTTGTATTTCCTAATAGTAAATTAATATTTATTAATAATTTAAGAAACAAATATATATTATATATTTATTATATATAACATAAATACTTTTTTATTATATATGATAGTATTGGGCCGGGCTTATTTGAGAAAGCCTAAGCCTGGCCTGAAAAATGACCGGGCCTGGTATTTAAAGCACGAGCCCAAGCCCGAGCTTGTGGGCCTAAAATTTTGTCCAAGCCCAAAAAGTAACAAGCCGAGTTAGGGCGGGCTGTCCAGCTACCCGACCCATGAACAAGTCTAATCAAGAAGGAGGAGATTTTTGATCAAAGAAAAAAGCTAAGTGAAGTAAGAAGGCTCTTGGGAAAAAGGAAACACACACCATCTTCGAAAGAGCAAAGTCACAACACCTTTAAGTCTAGCAGGATCCTTCTCTTGATCAAGCTTTCCAAGCCAAATTGAATGAAGTAATCTCCATTGTTGTCTAAAGTACAGGAGCACGTCATTTGACTCTCGGCTTCAACTCAAATCCAAATCCTCAAATTGCAAGAAACACCATCAAAAGAGAATCATAGATTCTATCTCTTTTGTAAGAGAGTTTCAAATACAAAGAGTTTGTATCCCATTTGCTTTATAAATATAAAAAATCAGTTTATTTGAACAATGCCTTCATACACAGGGTGATCATAGGTCAAGTTGGGCTTAATGGAATATAATATGTACACAACTTTATTTTATTTTTGTATAATATAAAATATTATAATATGTATTATATAATATATTATAAAATAACATATATCCACATGTATATATTATGGGTTCGACTATAGCAAGGATCAGCTTGTTTGTCAAAGAATTGACCCAAACCCCATACAAATACTAGAAGAGAATCTAGGCTCTGAAGATTCCCCAAAAATCAAGCATTTTATTTGGAAGTGCTGTCATAGTAGCATTGGTGTTAATTAGATCTTAATGAGAAGGCAGATTAGTGAAGAAGATCTTTGCACAATCTATGGCAGAGAAACAGAAACTGTCTCTTTCTGTGTGATCATGCTAAAGCATCTTGGTTCGGTAGTGATTTAGCCATTCATGTGGCATAAAGAAGTGGCTTTGGTTTTTGGGTCTCAGTAGAAAGGGGTCTCTTCACTTTTGCAAAATGTGGTCTTTGTAAAGTTGTATCTGCGTTATATGCAGAAGCCTCAGTCGTGCTTGAATGTGTTTTGTTTATTCATGGATTGGGTTTAAAGTCAGTAGCTGTCTTCTGTGACTCTTCTATTATTGTATCTGTCATCTCCAAAAAATCTTATGATTGTTATCCAGCTTTATGGCCGGTCCTCCACAACTTGTATGCTCGATCTGTCTGAAGTTGATTTTAAGGTGATATTAGCAAAGCGGGATTCTGTTAGTGCAGCGCACAGGTTGGCAGCCAGAGGTCAGTCTGGTTTTCAGGACTTCTGGGGTCACCCCCTACAGTGGATGCTCCCTCTGTTTCGATCAGAGGATTTGGTTCAGGTGTCTGCCCTTTCAGGCGAGGATGTTAATCCTTTTTAGCGTTGGTGGTTGGTGTGTGTGTTTTTTTCTGTATTTTCTTTGTTTCTGTTCTGTGCTGTTTTCTGTTATCTGTATTTTCTCAACAAAAAAAAAAAAAAGACTGATATATTTAAATATATTAGGTCGGGTCATGATTGGGCTTGAAGTTTTTAGGGTAGGCCTAGCCTTGAAAATCATAGTATATGGGCCTAGGCTACAAGGCAGGGCATGATATGCATTTGTTCACAGGTCTCGTTTTAGACTTTTGTCGAATACATGGGATCCATTCATTGAAACGCTGCCTATTTCAAAAATGCCCCTCCCCGGACCAATTTCATACATTCACCTTTGCGTGATTAATGTAGGAAGGAAACATAGTGAAAAAAACAACCATAAATAAAATAAAAAGGAAAATAGTATACAAAAACAAGAAATTTTAAGTTTGTACACTTATCCTCAAATTTGAAACCTTTTACCTTTTGGTACTCCAACTTTTAATGTACTGAATCAGTTTAGTTTACCGGCAATGACAAATTGCTAATAAAAAAAGAAAAAAAACTAACAAAATTACTATTGAATTTCTCTAATTAATCAGTTATATAAAACCTTTAAAAATGGAAGAAATTCAAAAATCAAAAATCACTTGGCCCCTAACTCTGCCCCTATAAGGGCATATCGGGAGCTCCCGAACCGATATGGATTGTATCGATACTTTGAATCTTGATCTTCGGTTCCCAAATACCCAATTTTCTTACTATTTCTACAGATTCCATTCCATTTGTACCCGAAGCACCGCACAACAGTCAATTACAACATCTCTCATTGAAATGAAATTAGTGGATACTGACCTAATGGGATTTCACATCTGTGCCCCATAAGAGGCACCCCACAACGTCCTACTGCACATCCCGGGCGTGTATTGAAAATATTTCCCAATTATAATAGCAGAACGGACGTTGTGAGGCGCAGATCTGAACTCGCGTGTAGTGGGCTAAACTTGACTTTTCACGTCAGCCAGATATATTACGAGTGGAACTGTAGTGGATTCGAACTCCACAGAGCTATTGCAGAAGGAAAGATCGATATTCCTAAGATTCCTAACTTGTTAGCTGTGCAATGGAACCCAAACCCACAGTGGGGACTGCACCAAAAACTCAAAAAGAACATAATCATTACCCCTAATGAATTCGGATTTGCTCTTCGCATAGCGCGCACCACACCAACGTCACAGTTCGTTGCAGCCGCGCATAGGAAACATCTTCCATACAAACACGGACATGTACAACCAAAGACCCTGGGCCAAGTGTCAGCACAATTCGAGTTTCAAGGGAAGCGAATTAACTCTTCGACTCTCAAACTTCCCACCCGCAGTCCCGTTTTCCTTGTGCGCTTTTTCTGCCTGCGGATCCGCTCTTTTGTTTTCTTCTATTTATATCATTGGATGCCTTGTGTGTTGTGTTACCACTTACATTTCAGAGTTCAGAAGCCCTTCCTTCCTCGATTGGGTCTCTTCTAAAATCCAAATTCCAATGGATGCTCTGCAGATCCATCGCACTAGTTCCACCTGCATATCGTCTCTAAGATCGGCCAGTACTCCTCCAACTTTGGGACTACTGGGGCAAGTTCGCTTTGCTCCCTTATGTAATCGCAGAGGTCGAGTTTTTCTTCATCGGACGAGATCGGTTAGAGATAGGAACGAAGGTGAGTTTCGTAGGTTTCGGAACCGGTCTTCTGCTGTTGAAGGAGAAGAGGAAACGGAGATAATACTTGGAGCAGAGAGGGATGGTCGTATTATTGGCTTTCACCTGGTTCCTGAATCTGGTAATCCTTTTAATCCCCATGATAGGAACGAAGACGAGTTTCGGGACCGGTCTTCTGCTGTTGAAGGAGAAGAGAAAACGGAGATAATACTTGGAGCAGAGAGGGATGGTTCTATTATTGGCTTTCACCTGGTTCCTGAATCTGGTAATCCTTTTAATCCCCATGATTTGGCGCCTTATTTTATACTACATTTGCTTCCCGAGATCTGGTAGTCAGATGTTGTTTCCTTGTATTATGTTCACTCTACTCGGTTGCTTGTTTTTGTTCTTTAATTACTAAATGCTTATTTCTAATGGTTTTCTCTTTTCCCTTTATCTGTTCCTTTCAATGATTCCCCAAGGAAAGCTATATTTTATGTTTGATAATTGATGTCGCCACTGTCCCGACTTCCAAGCTATCTCTTACAATAAACAATTTGTATAATCACTCCTCAAGCTTGACGTGTCACTGAATTCTTCTGTTCATTGAATTTGCATAGAGAGTTGATTAATATGATCACACTGATGGAATCTAAGTTTCACCAGTAAATTGGTGGATGAATCCGAACCTGCAACTACAACTCACAGGATGAAGAACCCAACCTATGAAATTTGGACTATGGCAAGAAGCAACCTCAATAGTTGATATCCTACGGTCAGATGTATTGTTCATTGACCATTCAGCCAATGTTCCAGAAGAAACGTCAAATCATTAGATGGTTGGGATCTTTCCAGCAAGCTTGATTTGAGGTATAGGAGACACAATGTACTAGAATTCTAATGTCAGCACTGGTGCTCCTTGACATTTCTTGAGTCAAGAAATAGAAATTTCTATGTTACTTTGCTGTTGCCCAATCGTGCAGATCTTGCTCATACGTGATATTGATGGATGTGGGTATTATATTTATGGATTATCTGCTTGGCAGTCAATATCATTTAAAAACTTTGGACTCCTTAGATGGGATATTACGCACCAACAAAAAATCACTAGGTCTAGGTTAAGAGGGTGGTTAATTACAGTATTGCTGCACTGCATGATTAAAATGCTAATTTACACTCACAGACTGTTGGGATGGGCATAGTTTGTGGCTGTAACTCATCCAAAGGGCCTCAAACTTTGCTAAATCCCTTCTTTAGAGCAGCCTAGGTTCTGGATTGTCCAAATCAATGTGCTCATGGTTGTGAAAGTCCTAATACACATTATTTGTGGGAGTCGGCAGATTTGGTTTATCACTAGAGACAGGTTTAGTTTACTATAAAAAACATTTAATTAGCTGAGACTTATGCTATGAACATTGTCAGCTAATTATATCTGATGGCTGAAACTGTCATCTTTTATAACTTCTTACCAAAACCTTCTACTGGATATCTAAATAGCATGTTTAATGTTGCATTTGTTTCATTTGTTTGATGATCTGATTGTGCCAATTTATCAAAACTCTAGTGCTTAATTCTTCCCTGCATGTGTGTCACATGTATGATTATGTTGCTTAATCACAAGTATGAAACTTGATTGCTAAAATTGGGATTCTGATGATTTAATACAGATGATGAGGAAGTTGTTGACTCTGACTCTACTACCAGTGCAACAAAGACCATAGAAGAAGAAATAGAGGGTGTTAAAGGAGAGGAACCTCAAGTTAGAGTAACTCATAACATCGTTTTTGTAACTGCTGAAGCTGCACCATATTCAAAGACAGGGGGCTTAGGAGATGTTTGTGCTTCTTTGCCAGTTGCACTTTCTGCCCATGGGCATCGTGTCATGGTGGTCTCTCCAAGATATTTGAATGGTTCCCCTTCAGACAAGAAATTTTCTGGTGCATATGATGTTCAATGCCGTATAAAGATCCCTTGCTTTGGAGCACTGCAGGAAGTTGCATTCTTCCATGAGTACAGGGCAGGTGTTGATTGGGTAAGTCTGTTTTCATCACATACATAGGAGGAATTGATTTAGATGACCTGGTTTTATGCTTGCCAAATTGTTTTTTTTTTTTTTTTTCTTTTTTGTTTTGTTTGGGAATTTTATTTCTTAACCTGCCAGAAATTTGGGTGAGTCCTTAACATAGTTTCATAGATGTGAAAACCAGCTAACAATACTTAGATGCTGACTATTTTCCTGTTTAGGTATTTGTTGACCATCCTTCCTATCAAAGGCCAGGAAATCCATATGGCGATAATTATGGTGCTTTTGGTGACAATCAGGTAAAGCCACTACTGCTATAACATTGTAGTTCTACTGGTGATGTAGTTAAGCTTAACATACTAATAGCATCATTTTTTATCAGCACTAATAGCATCATTTTCTGTCAATAACAAATTATATCTTTTGGTTTTACAGTTCCGGTTCACTCTACTTTGTCATGCAGCATGTGAGGCTCCATTGGTAATTCCATTGGGAGGGTTTACATATGGTGAGAAGTGTTTGTTCCTTGTTAATGATTGGCATGCAAGCTTAGTACCAGTGTATGTGATATGCTTTCCTTTTACTTCAATTTGTTTCCCCCTCTTTTCTGTTTTCTTCATTCAATTAAAGTGGGTGGGTATTATTGCAGGAGTTTTTCTTAATTTATTTTATTAGATGTCCATTCTTAAATTTCATGTCTCCAGTGGAGAATTGATATTCTTTGATACATGTCTTTTGGTTCAGCCTCTTGGCAGCTAGTTATCGACCGCATGGTGTCTACAAGGATGCTCGCAGTATCCTCATCATACATAACCTTGCACATCAGGTATACTTTTTGTGCCTTACTTCCTTGGTGTTGAACCATTTAATATATAAATTTTTCCTGGTTGACAGGAATTTTGATAAAATCACAGAAAATGGGGAAATAATGTATAAAGTACTATCTGTGTTAAGGCTTGAAAATAAGACTTCTAAATGATGTTTCTGAAAGAGTGTGAAGGTAGACATAGTGAAAACTACTTCTACAATTGTATAAAGCAAATGTTTTTCATAATACCACTTCATTTATTAATTAAATTTCTTGTTTTAAATTTTTTATCCAATCAGATCATGTTTCATAGTTTAACAAATAAGTTTTTTCTAGTCATCAATATTCAATAATTATTACTACTGAAGTGGATGTGATTTCCTCACTTTTTTTCAGTACATTACTTATATGATACCTTATATCTCCTTATTTTTTCCTCACTTAGAATGTAAAGAACCTAGAAATCGGCAATGAGAAAATGAATCATTTTTTAATGAGAAAATGGATCACTTTTTTTAGCACCCTGTACCAGATATAAAACGCAAACATTAATGAAAAGATGGAATAACAGTACATAGAAGTTTCTTCAAAGTAGTGGTGGTTATAACCAATTTTTCAGTGAATTATGGTCAAAAGTCTATCATTATTGTTTTAAAGATAATTGGAATTTGAAAAGCTAGCAGTTGATACTCATTGTTTCAGTTAAGCATTACAAACACATAAATACAGTCTTTCAAGTATCAACAAGTGTTATGAGATCAGACCTGTCCCAGTGGTTGGTCCCTTGAACCCACCTCCTAGGAACTCGGATTTGCTCCCCAAAACCAACCCCATAACACATTGCAGCTGCATATTGGGAACATTTCTCGTACTTGTATGTTGTCATTCATGAAGTTCCCAATGCATGGCTGCAATGTGCTGTGGGGAGCAGATGCGGATTCACGACCTGGCAGAAAAACCAGGTCTTAGACAAGCCAGGTTACAATTGGCAGGCAAAGCAGGTTGATCTTGAGCTACATTTTGTGCCATTGCTGTAAACTTTATAGAAATTCCAGACTGTGCACTTGCATTCTGGGTGATTCACTTTTGCCTGGGTTGTTACCAGGCAATGATATTGAAGTTCGACTTGATCATTTGTTTAACCATTTAACTTTTAAATTACTCGTGCCATGTGTATTTTCTTACTTTTTTTTTGTCTAAAAGAGTGTGGCATTCAAATCTTATTATGATTATACTTAATGGTCTATCAGACAAAGATTTATACTTCTTATGTTCATTTGTAGTTTACTATTTTTGTAAGGATAATTTTAGAAGTCTTCACAAGTGTTGTCTTGCACATGCAAGGGGGTGGAGCCAGCAGCAACTTATAGCAACTTGGGACTACCACCTGAATGGTATGGTGCAATGGGTTGGATTTTCCCCAACTGGGCAAGGACACATGCGCTTGACACGGGTGAAGCCGTCAATTTTCTGAAGGGTGCAATTGTAACAGCTGATCGAATATTGACAGTTAGTGAGGTGACAAGTTTATGATTATGTATTTTCTTGCTTAGAATGTGTTCTTAGGTTCAATAACAGGTACTACCTGGTGAACTGGAAGGGTTATCTGTTGGACATTCTCTATGTTTGGCAATGGAGGCATTGAAAGTTAAATTCCAGTAACTGATGGGACAGGGAGATTTCTGTCCATATTTAATGCAATATGAAAGGCGCATGGTTTAAAGTACTGATACCCAAAGGTGTATTGATACTTTGAACCATGCAAATATCTATCCATGCAGAAAATTTGTACATAAATATCTATGCATGCCATGCATTCGTGAACATGCATCTCTCTCTCTCTCTACCTATCTATTTATTTATTTATTTATATATGGATACACTAGATAATGCAGGTGGATTCAGTTGGATGTACTTTGACCAAGAGGTGTCAACTACTGCTTGTGTCTTTGTTTTTGTGGCAGGGATATTCTTGGGAGATTACAACTCCTGAAGGTGGATATGGTCTCCATGATCTCTTGAGCAGTAGGAAGAATGTCCTGAATGGTATGAAGTTTTGAACCATGTAAAAAGGGTTCCAGGAAGTTGTGTTATTTATTAAGTGTGAAAACATCATTGTGATACTTAAAGGATGTATCCTTATTACAGTCCGTCTTTAGCATCCAATATGCTGTGCTACCATAACATCTATCCATATCCATCATTCTCTCTCTCTCTCTCTCTCTCTCACAAACACACACACACACACACCCCTCCCTCCCCCTTGTGTGTGTGTGTGTGGAATGTGGAGTGTTTTTATGTCCAAGTTACATCTATACTAATATATTCAGGGGGGGCATTTTTCTATTTTTCTGATGAAGCTTAATTCATTTGACAAATGTCTATTTCCCCAGTGCCCCAGTTCTTCAGTTAAGCCATTGCTACTGTATTTTGACACACTATCCAATGGTTTAGATATTATTTGTCTCTTTCATGCAATTTGTTTTCTTTACGACCAGGGATCACAAACGGAATTGATGTTATTGAGTGGAACCCGGCTTCTGATGAACATATTTCTTCTTGTTACTCTGTCCATGATCTTGCTGGGAAGGTTTGTGTAATTCACTGTTTTTTTAATTCATCTTAGCATTGTCCTAGAAATGTGGTGTCTCTCTCCTAACCATATATCATTGCAGGCGCAATGTAAGTCAGCTTTGCAGAAGGAACTGGGTTTACCTGTCAGGCCTGAATGTCCGATGGTAAGCTTAAGCTGTGAATGCTTAATTCTGTTGGCTACACTGGTATAGATCAGACTTCCTTTATAAATGATAAACATGTGGATTTTCATAGATTGGATTCATCGGGAGACTTGACAATCAAAAGGGAATTGATCTCATTCAATCAGCAATTCCAGAGCTTATGCAAGATGACATCCAATTTGTAAGCTTCTTTTTTGTTATATTTGCTAAGATCATCCTTGATGTGTTTTATCACTAATTCAGGAATCACCTTGAAATGTTTCCAAATTGGACCATAATTTTAGCTGAGTACTTTGATATGATTGCAGTATTCCTATCCGATGTTCCATTTGTCAGTGAAAATAACCATGGTGCACTTGAGCCATGTTGCAGACTACAATGCTATATATCTTATGTTTGCTTAATAGCTGTACTACCCTAGAGTTATTATAAAATGTAAAAGTTGATGTTGACAAGGAATCCTAAGCCCTTTAGGCTGTGTTTGGTTTGAAGGAAAAAGTAGGGAAAGGAAAGGAAATGTATGGAAACCTTTACAAAACTTGTATAGGTTACCCTACCTTTCCCTACCTTTTCCTTCAAACCAAACATAACTTTAAGAGACATGCACGTATTTCTATCCTTTGCTTGGACATTACTAGTTGGAGTTATCCTATCTATTTCAGGTTATGCTGGGATCGGGGGACCCCCAGTATGAAGATTGGATGAAAGCAACAGAATCTACCTATAGAGACAAGTTCCGCGGTTGGGTTGGATTTAATGTTCCTATTTCTCATAGGATAACTGCAGGGTAGGCCAATGATTACACTTTATATTTTCCTATAACAGTTACAGTTAAAATTGGCTCATTAACTTCTGAAAATTCACAGATGTGACATACTATTGATGCCCTCAAGATTTGAACCCTGTGGTCTAAACCAATTGTATGCAATGAGATATGGAACTGTCCCAGTGGTGCATAGCACTGGAGGGCTTAGAGTGAGTACAATTTTAAGAAAAAAGGCATATTCTTTTCTGTTAGTTGTGAACATGATCTGCCTCTTTGACATTTTCATCCTAATTGCAGGATACTGTAAAAAATTTCAACCCGTATGCTAAAGAAGGAAACGACCAGGGTACTGGGTATGTACTTTTTTCTAGAACTTGCTATCGTTTTCAATATTACAACTTGCTATTTAAATGACTGTAATTACACCATATGAAGCATCTTTTGTAAATGGAATCATAGGCTAGTTGGTTAGTGAGAGCATCATGGTCTGTACAGTCTGATCTGGGTCTGACAACATTGGTTGGAACTTATTTTCTAACATTCTTACTGCTTGAACTATGTTTGACAGGTGGACCTTTTCTCCATTGTCCAAAGAGAATATGTTGGCAGTAAGTTCAATTCCTATTCTTCTATTACATGAAAATTTTCTATCTTTTTAAATTACTTGATACTTGAAAAGTTTCTTCAGTTGTGGGTTATTGTGATGATAAATTTATTGGGTTTCAATTTACCAATAAGAAAGCAATACAAGCCAAACAATTAAATACATGGTAGGTAGCTACAATTTACCAAGAAACTACCTCAATTGCCAAACAATGTGGTGGTTGAGAGAGCATTTTAGATCTGGATTTGTTGTCTTTGCTGTAGGCAAATGCCATGATAGGATTATGGCATTTTGGTTACTATAAAAAAGTACTATTTTACTATAAAAAGTATTTTAGGTACTAGCACACCACCCCATGATAGGATTATGGTAATGATAGCTACCTCTTTGTAGGACAATTATGACTCAGTGGTTGACCTACGAAATGGACTTCTTCAATGACATATTGGTGCATTGGTTGCGAAAGAAAAAACATTATCCAGCCTCTCCTATTACATTGGCCTAACAAAAATGAGTCATTGAGTCAATATTCTAATTAGCCAAAAAAAAAAAAAACTGACATATGCATGTCATGTGCTTGCTAGAAATTCGATGTCCTTTCTTTCCTGTCATTCTTGGGGGTCATCCATGAATTAGTTGATACTGCTAAAAGGATCATGAGTAATAATAAAGGGAGGAAATATCACTTTCTTAACATCAATATATGGCAATTTGCAGGTTTTTTTTTTTTTAATTTTTGATCATTTGCAATTTGCAGGCTTTGAGAGTCGCCATTAGGACATATAGGGAACACAAGTCTTCTTGGGAGGGATTGATGAAAAGAGGAATGGAGAGAGATTGTACATGGGATAATGCTGCTGTTCAGTATGAGCAAGTCTTTGAATGGGCCTTTTCTGTTCCACCTTATGTTCAGTAAGCTCAAAGTTATGTAGTGCATTTTCCAATAGATTTTCCTTATAATTCATTTTTTTTCTTATTATTCTTTTTGTACAAACTTGTCAATAGCCATATAGGTGGGGTGGTGTTATTTCTTCTAGGGGTGGCAAATAGGTTGTTTCGGCTGCCAAAATAGACATGTGTAGTGCATTGGTGGGTTAACCCAACCTCGAACCTTGAGGAAATATAGATAAATGTGTTAAACAAGCTTAGCAAAATAAATGGGCTAGCGTTTGATGTTGAAATTCTACGAGAATGATCTCACCCAAATACGAACACAGTTCTTATACTGAATGACCTACTAGTGAATGATAATGTTCAAGTTAACCATGTTATCTGGTGCCAAGGTTTTTACATCTTCGGGTATTCAGTCCCTTGGACCAAAACGACATAAAACAAATTTTGGATATCGAAAAGCACCGGATTCATAGTGCAAATATTTCTAAATTTTTGTCAAAACTATTTCCAAAGATCACATTTTAAGATATATTCCTCGAAATAATGATAGTGAATTTTTTGGGGTAAATTTATAACCATGGGGTAAATTTATAACCGTCCGAGTCGTAGAATCATAAGGTAGGGACTGACAAGATCGGCAGGAATTTTTCTTCTACTAATCTTTTGTTGGCCTATAGATATAGATGGTATTAGACCTGCTCATGGGCAAGGTGGCTCGATGGCCCGGCCTGGCCTGCACCCTGGTCGGGCTTGGTCATGTAATTAGGCCCACAGGCCTGACCTCGGGCCTAACACAGTAAGCCCGACTGTGTTTCGTTCCAGGCTCTGGATTTGTCAAAAAAGCTCGGTCTGACTCAGTATTATATATTATGCATTTTATATATTATATAAAATATATAAATAATATAATATTTATTTATAATTTAATATATATATATATATATTTTCTTTTCTTTATAATTTTTTTCTCTCTCTCTCTCTTTATTCAGCTGCTTCAGCAGTAGTAACAATATGGGCTAAATTTTGGGCTCGGGCCTAGGTCCAGGCTTTGGCCTTTTTATAAGGGCCGGGCTCGGGCCCAAGTTGTAGGTCTGATGGTCAAACCAGGCTCGGGCTTGGGCCCAAGTTTAGGTCCAATGGTCAAACCGGACTCGAAATTGGGCCTTAAAAAAATCTGTTAATACAGAGTGAAAGCCCAGCCCGGCCCATGAACAGGTCTAGTTAGTATAGATGAATGATCCAGAATTCTGGATACAGGATTTGTTAAGGAAAGAGTCTCCCCGTCAGCTACGGGAGGAGATGCTCTGTTTTTCTACTCTGCCCCCCTCAGTGTCATCCCATTCAGGGATCGAAATATATTTCATACATAAGCATCAATCCCTCGTGTGAGAATGTAGAACGGAGAGTTAGCGATTTCCATCTCCAGTGTCATATATTTCAACATTCTCGTGTGAGAATCTTTTCAACCGCCATTTCGCCTGCAACTTTATTTCCCCCTCTAATCTCTAATGCCGGAACATTTCTCTCCCTGTCTTCCCTCTCCACTTCCGGTAGAACTTGGGTTTATGCAATCTTGTTGCAAAAAATAAAATAGTTAATGAACATTTTCAGCAGTCGTGAGTCTCAAAAAAAAAGGAAAAAAATACTAATGTCGAACATATTTTTACCAAAGTATTAGCATGAGTACTCCATATTAAACCTGGTTTCCCTAAGTCAAGGTTCAGTATTCCTTATTCCATAAATGATAACTAAAGCAACGGAAATCTTGGTGTTTGGATTGATGCCTTTTCTTCAGAAAACGGTCACAGTAGAAATCCGTTTTCTGAGAAAATGCATGATGTTTGTTTGGTCGTATTTTCAGAAAAATGTTTTTCAATACTATGTCTTGAAAATCAGGAAAGGTGTAATACAAGAAAATGCCCCTGTTGGTGTTTTCCCGTTTTTTACTATTGCTAACAATTGTATGCTGATATAGCGTTAAAAGAAATGATGGAAACCTGAAACAATTTCTTGTAAATGTCTTTCACCCCCATTTGTTTTTTATTTAGTTTTTATATTTTATATTTTTTAAGTTTGAAAAGTTTTCTTGTAAATGTCTTTCACCCCAATCGTGCCAATTCCAATATATCCCTATTCGATTGGAAGTGAGTGTACCTCGGCACACATAAAATTGAGTGCAGGAAATCGGAACTCGAAACGGAGGGTGCTGATTGTTAATTCTTGTTCACAAGTTGGGATGGGTATATTATGTAATTATAGGTGTCGCTCAAGACACTGAGATGGGCAGAGAGAGAGAGAACAGACGATCCATTCCGTCAGGTACTACCCTTGTCTGTGTGGTGATGTGTATAGTTGGGCAGGAATGGGACCACGACCACAGTTTGTCCGTGGGCGTGGGCGTAGGGTTTGGCTTGAGGTTGAGAATGGAGATGGAGACGATTGTCGTGACCGGAATGGGTCAATGTACCAAACCAAAATTTCCAATTCAAATATGAAACACCCGTTACTATCAGCAATAGCGTCACTCTGCGTTGGGCATTAGAAAAGTCGAGGAAATGGTCTTTTTCTCTCTCTCTCCTCAAGACTCAAGCTTGGTCTTGGTCATGGGCTTAGAAATCCCAGTTCAGTTCAGGAACCAAATGTGTTTGTTTTGCTGAAAAATATTTATTTGTACATACTTCATTGGTGGCCATAAGCCCATAGCTCTTCAGCAGTCATGTTTTGTATTTGTATTGTATAAATAGTTACTAATTAAGCTGATACAGAAACATCATCTCTAAAACCTAAAACAAGATTCTTCTCAAAGCCAAAACGGGTTACGAGTGCACACTGCACAGCACACACACCACCACCAGCGTCAATTCTCTCTCTCTCTCTCTCTCTCCTGCATAAGTCATTCTCACTCAATAAAAAGCTGTATATGTAAAATACATCCGCCATCGCCAAATGGGTTTTTGTTTCAGGAAGGCTTCAAGCATTCTTATCTGCAAATATATCCAAAAGTGCCAGTGCCTGCAGATTGAGACAACAGAATAGGAACCGGTGAGACTAAAATGTAAAATCTACCTTCTCAAACCAATAAAATACATACAATCTTCGCATCTTTTTAATTAGCATATGTAAAGTAAACAAACTATACCTCCGGTACATTAAGCTCTAAGCGGAACTTGGGGCCATCATAGTGGTGAAGGATCGGTCTAAACGAGTCTTCCTCTAATGGCTCGCAATTTTTCCTTGTCACAACTCGTACCTGTCAAGTGTGAACAACATCGGAAGTAATAAGAAAAACCAAGCCAAGAGTGACAGATTTATCTTCTTTGATTCAAGCCTTGAATAGCAGCAGCCACACTGAAATTCAGAGGGCCTCGGAGTAACTGGACTGGATCAAACTAGGCTACTTTCCAATTAAATAATAAGTATGCTACGTGAGCAAAATTATTCTGTAAGAATTTCTATTCTTCCTCTTTTATTTTTCTTCCCTTCTCATTCAAGGGCAGATTTATCTTAACTCTTCTTTTATTTTCCATGGGTATCTCACAAGTTTTATTCTGCTTTAAGATAATTGAAAAGTTAACCAATTTGAGATGTTCTTACAGAAAAATATCTACCTTTGCCTCCCATCTATTCGTTGTCCAGACACACAAAAAAAAAAAGGAGATAACCCAATACCTGAGCAGGGAAACGCGATTCCCCAGGATTCTTCTTATCTTCCCAAGCAGTTGGATCAATGTTTGTTCCTCCGAAACTGGCAGCCTAATGCACAACATGATCTTCAAGTAAATATGGTTGCACACAAACACAATCCATATGAAACTTTATTTACAAAAAATCTATAATAAAGAAACTTTGCAATCTAAGATATAATTAGAATAGAATTTAGATGGATTTTTTTTTTTTTTATAAATAGATGAGGATTTTTTTCCTTTATTTTTTCTCCAGCTAGGAAGAATAGCACAGAGGACAGCCGATAAGTTCATGCCTACAGAAATCCTAGTTCACCAAGGTTTTTTTTTTTTTTCTTTTAATTTTAATGAAAATTTAAATGGAATCCAAAATAATATGAAATACAACCTCAAATATTCCATGGAGTTGGTGGGTGGAATAGTTGTAGAGGAAGAGGGGCAACCCCGGCGTTATAGCTCGGACGGAATCTCTGTATCTCGGAGGCAGACCTGAAAATTAAATCGAGAAACTCAGTTCAGACTCTAATTTCCAATTCCCCAGCCCAGCTCCCATTCTCATATAATGCACACAAACAATCAAACAAAAATCACAGGTAAACAAATTTAAGCAAAATTAAATAAATAAAACTTTTATTTTTATACTATAAAATTTCCCCTTCCCCTGACTGAAGGAGATACTCTTAATTGAGTCATAAAACGGAGGGAAAGAGAAGGGTACATACCAAAGAGCTGCCTCCTGAGATTCTCCTGCATGGTGTCATTGTTGCAGACAAAGATGTATCCCCCAATTGCTTCATTTCGAGGCAGAGACTCTGATGGTGGGAGGGTCTTGAATCTCTTGTCAACGCTGGTCTTATTGTTGTCATTGTTGTTGTTGTTCTTGTTATTCTTCTTCCCGCCTTTTCCTTCATGATCGTCTTCGTTCTTAGTGTTCTTATTGCTCTTGTTGTTTCCGTTGCTGTGACAGATGTTGATGTTGTTTACGGGTTGCTTGGAATAAACCCCTTTGTTGAAGACCCCATTAACGGCAGCGTTCTTTTGGGTTGCTGCTGCTCCAACTCCAATACTAGTCCCGATCTTCCAATCATCGTTAAACACATTAAAATCGGAGCCCTTCTGCTTAAAGTAAGAAGAGGAAGACCTGTCACCGCCGACCCTGATATCGAAATTCCGCCTCTCCTCGGGCCTCTTGGCAGTGAAGGAATTCCCCCAAATCGAATCATTAAGCGAGAGATTAGCCAAGTTTGACGACTGTAGCCGAAGCTGATCGCTGAATTGCCAGAAAGATTGCTGATTGTTATCCATATTTCTTGTGTGATGAATCTGAGAGACTACGCTGGTGATCCTATTCTATGCAACCACCGTAAGATAGGGAGAGAAAGAGGGCGACAATAGATTTAAAAGGAGAAAGTAAAGTAATGGAGGGTGATCGACTGATAATTGGATGAGGGTTGAAGAAATGAGGAAACATATAATATTTGAAAAGAGGAGGGGAAGGAAGATGGAGGGCCAATTGCGTGTAGACTTGTCAAAGCGGAGAAGAGAAGCAAAAGAGCGTGGAATAATATTCTGCCTGATCTTTCCTCAGTCACACCTGAAAGGCGGAGCCGGAGAGTCGTTGGAGGCAGAAGCAGCGTAGAGTAGTTCGATAGAGCGTGATGACGCCAAAACCGCGTTCGTGTATTGCTCTTTAGCAGTGTATTAAGTAATAAGTAAGTATTAAGGGGGAGAGAGAGAGAGAGAGAGAGAGAGAGAGAGAAGCTCGGAAGAGGACAACGGGAGAGGTGGGCCCCATTCTTTATATTTGTCAAAATATTAAGAATAAGGGGCGGTGTGAGTGGTGGTTGGTGGGGTTTCACTGTCATTTTGTCACCTTCTAGTTCTAGAAGATACTAAATACCTATAGTCTATAGTGCCCTCGGCCTCCCTAGCTGGCGTTTGGACTTTGGATTTGGCAAGGTGTAACTATTAACTAAAAGCACTTTTAGCAGAACTATGAACAAACAAGGTATTGACTTATATTAGTTGGGTCTTGGGGAGGTATCCTATAATCCTAATCTGTCTTCTTCTATCCAAAATTCCTAAATTCCTAAATTCCTAAATTTCTAACGGGTGGAGGTGGATGCGACCTAGTCCACAGAGTTGGAGGCTTGTGATAGCTGTTGTTATTCCTTACACGTGTCCCATTACTACCACCAAGCAAGTAGAGTGTTAACACGTCTTTACCTTCACCGTGAATAATGGGGTTCTTGTGGGCTGGTGGCCTGTTGCTAGCGATTGAGGTGCGTGTGGCTTGTGCATGGGATGAGATCACATTGGCGTCCCACACAGCGTGCCCTACGGGCGCCCCACAGCCCATCCAAACCGTGCATGGGAATATCTCCAAATAACAAGTATCGGAGATATTCCTAAATCCTAATGCACGCTCGATACTGCCATGGGCTGCGGCTGCGCCTACGCCCTACGCCCTAGAGATAATCACCCTGTACCTGTTTGTACCTATGGCTTGTGATTGTGTGTGTTTTGTGATGACTGATAACTGATAATTGATAATATCTTCTTCTGAATTTCCGGAATATATATTTAATGATAAAGGTAAAATTACTAAATTATCCATTCTAAATTCTATGAACCGAACAATAATCAAATAACGTGCAAATGATGAGATTTGATCATCTTCTGTCACTTATGATCCATCAGTGTTATTGTTTCAATTTACAGTAATGTTTTTGCAAGCAATTAAGAGGCTTCGGTAGAACAAGAATACAAGTTGGAAAGGAATTTCAATTTTATTTACATACTCAGTATGACTTCCAACAATTAATACTGGCCCGCCGTGTTCTTGCTAGAATTGCATAATAACATTCAGTCGGTCATCAATTCCTCATTGTATTTGCATATCTATTTATCATGTAAAACCAATTCTGCGGAATGAAACCAAGCTTTATTAGGAGGGCAATAAGGGTAGTTTAAGATTTTAAAAATATTTATTGAAGTATGTCATAAAATTAACTGAGGGCAAACTCAAAAGTTCACATGGGCCTTTCATCTCAAAACAAAGGTTCGGACTTCGGAGGGCTAAATATCACTACCCCTAAGCAGTACCGTGTTTACATGTCAATTGGTTGATTGGTAAAGTCTCTTACTGGTAGTAGTGGGGTTTTGAGGATGAACTAGCCCAGTATTTCTTATAGCCGTGCATTGAAAATATCTCCTCAATTAATTATTGTCAATGGTGTGAGAACCGAGAACGGTCGTGTAAGTATCAAATCTGATTTCTTACCAACCATTTCTAATTCTACCAATGACAGCAAAAGGATAAGCGGTTTTCAGTTTCCCAGAGTTGAGAATTGTGACACAAATGAACGAACAAACAGTAAGGAAATAAAATTCGGAGAATTTAACATCCGATCCGATGCAATAAGAATATAAGATCCAGGTCTGGGTCAGCATCATCAACTCAACTATTAGTCTACTTGACCTTGTCCCCAATCCCATTCACTCGATCAAAGTTCCATGTCATGTCAATATAGATCTCCTCAAACCAGAAGATAGCACTGACATTTGGCAATGGTATATAATCAAATCACAAGATCACAACCATCCGCTTCATCTTTGACTTTGACAGCTGGCACGTTGATATCTACCAATCGCTAAGGCTATATTAATATATCTCTTTTGAAAATACATGTCAACTAGTAATACCTTCCACCATGCTTTTCAAAACCGGATCGGACCGGAAAACCAGTAACCGTTCAGCCCCCCGGTTTGGTTATACTATAAATTGGTAAATCCTTCAAACCCGTTGAAAAAGTTAGAAAATCGCCAATCTAGGTGGTCGAACTGTTAAACCGTTTGATCCAGGCAGCAGTTTGCAAGTTATCATTTTTATTTTCGTTGATTTAAATAAAATAAAAAAACAAAAAAATAAAACAGCCCCCATATCCCAGATCCCACCACTTACGGATGTTTAGGGTTAGAACGGCCCCCATTTTCATTCTAACCCTTCCCTCCTCACAGCCAACCGACCACCTACAGCAGCCACAACCTACAGCGTCCGACGACAACACACAACGACCAACAACAATTCACAGCGCCCGGCAATAGCGGTGAGATTCATCTATGGCAGCCAGCATTGATTTTGCAGTAGGTCCAACAGTAACAGTTGTGGCAGTAACAGGTCCAGCAGCCAACGATTTTGCAGCGGCAAGCGGGCGTTTCTAGCGGCAATAACAGTTGCTGCAGCAGCAATCACCTGCAACCAAGCCCGAACCCACCAACGGCAATTTTTGTGAGTTTAACACCGTCACACCACCATTACTGGTAGTGAGACCGTGAAGGTATAAAATGCTTAATTCTTTGAATTTTTTGTGAGTTTAATTGATTCTTTGAATTTTTGCTTAATTCTTTGTTTAATTAATCTTGCTTAATTATTATTTTTTTCTGAATTCTTTGCTTAATTAATTACAGAGATTCACATACTCACATTGGCTTAATTAATTTTGCTTTATTATTTTTTTTTCAATTCCTTGCGTATTTGCTATGTGAATGATGATGATGATTAGATGATGTCAAAGAATGATAAAATCTCTTCTTTTTTCTTTTTAATTTTCTGCAAACATATGGTTTTTGTATTTTCTGTAAGAAATGTATTTGCACTTTTCTGTATTTTTTCTATATTTATATGAAATTTTTAGTTTTATTTTTTTATTTGTATTTTTTCTGTTTTTTTTGCAATTTTCTGTATTTATTTGCACCTTTTTGTTTTATTTTTCTGTTTTTGTTTCAGTATTTTCTGGTATTTATTTGCACTTTTCTGTGTTTTCTGAAAATTTTCAGTATTTTTCTGTATTTATTTGCAATTTTCTGTATTTATTTGTATTTTTCTGTTTTATTATTCTTTTTTTTCTTTCTGTATTAATATGCAATTTTCTGTATTTATTTGTACTTTTCTGTATTTATCTGCACTTTTCTGTTTTTGTTTCTGTATCTTTTCTGTGTTTACTTGCACTTTTTTGTTTTATTTTTCTGTAATTTTCTCTATTTATTTGCACTTTTCTGTTTTTTTTTTCTGTATTTTTCTCTATTTATTTGCAATTTTCTGTGTTTTTTCCTTTTTTTTTTACAATTTTCTATGTTTTTATGTAGTTTTTTGGAATTTTTTTTTGTATTTTTTGCACATGTATGAGTATGACTAAATAGATCCTAATTTATCTTAATTGTTTTCTATATTTTTGGTTTTTTTTCTATATTTTTTAGAATGTTTCTGTACTTTTTTTGTATTTTCTATTTGTTATGTACTTTGTTATTTTTGTACTTAGATAGTTTTTTTTTTATTTTTTTGTGTCTTTTTCTGTATTTTATTTTTATATTTTCTATGTGTTTTGTACTGTATTATTTTTGTATTTAGATAGTTTTATTTTCTGCTTTTTTATTTAATTTTATGCTATTTTTTATTATTTATAAATATATATTTTTTTTATTTTTAATTTATTTATGATGTCACAAGTCAAACCATTCGACCTAAACGGTTGAGTCACTTTACCGGAAACCAGTCCCCTAACCGGTTCTGTTTCCGGTTCGTTTTTAAAAACCTTGCCTTCCACGCATTGCTCAATGCCACACAACTATGGCTTGAAGATGTCAACGGTGATTAATCTTATGTACTTGAAAATCAATATTGAAGAGGGTTCGAGTATGATACCGGAAAGGCATAGGCATGATATCCAAACATGTGACCAACAAACAAAAACTAACCATCAACAGAATACCACTTTGAGGTGGTGTTTGACTGTTTGTCTCATTGATGTTTTGGTAAATATAGTCGTGGTTCAAATTAACCATAAAAAGTTTGATTTTGAACCACAAATTCATAGCGAGACAATGAGACCAGAAACCCAACAAAACGTGTTCTTCAAATGGTTGTTTTACCTTTTTAAATCATATATATGACCAGATTTGATTGTATATATATGGTTAAGGATATAACCATACATGCACAAAGCACAAAAATGTATTCAAATTTCAATTTAAATGGCTCCAATTCCATTCCATGTATGAATTGGAAAGATATGATGAATAATGACTTTACTTGACAATTTAAGAATTGAATAGTTTCTTGACAATAACAGAAAAATTAATGACAATTTCATGCTTAACATAATACTCGAAAAAAGATGAATGTCTTGTGTTATAGGGTCACAAGATTTGTGGTCCTATAACTATAAAGGGGGCCTTATGAATATATATAAAAATGATTTCATTTATGCTATTTAAAATCAATTTCTTTGGTGAACAAAATATAAATGATTTCATTAATCAGAAGTGGTTAATGACAAAGCAAAAAAAAAAAAAAGGAAAAAGAAAGTCAAACAGCAAAAACAACATGCAATGAGAAACTAAACAAAAGATACAACACTAGGAGAGGGACTTCACAAACAGGCGAGTGAGTGATAATCGACCAATTGGATGCATACAAGGCTGTCAATGGTAATTGAAAATCTAATACGCAATCCAATTATCTTGGATTCAAATGATGTATATATGTAATTGGATCGGATTTGGCTGTTAATCTACACTTGATTAATAATTGGATCGAACTCAGATTTGACCCATCTGACCTGATTAAAATCTGAATCCTATTATAATATAACATTTATTAATTTTAATATATAAGTTTTATATAATTATATT